ATGTCATATAGGAATAGCATTGTTACATGATTTATATATTGCCAACCCAACTGTTAGATTATATTCCTAACACATAGGATAAGTATAAATATCAATGTGACTACCTATATGACATTACCCCTTACCATTTCTTGGTGGGAGAAAAGCAGGAGGAGGGAAGGTAGCCTCTCTTGAGCTGTTCTAGATTACTCCAGAGTGCTTCTGACAGGTCCCATAAAAGGAATCATTTCTTTTCTCCCCCACCCAAAGAATTATACAAGGGATTTATTTATTTTTATTGAGCTGCACCCACATCTTAGCCTGGTTTCAAAGAAGAAATGAAAATGAGGCAAAGGACTGGATATATTTTGAGTAATGCATTGTACCAATGGATAGGGTAAGGGAGGGAGGCACATTAAGAACAGCACTGTAGCAATCAAACCCCAAGTGCTTTCAAAACTGCTCCATTTAGTGGAGGTTTTTTATTATTTTATTTTAGTCTACTTACTATTTAAAAAAATGGAAATATATTGCACTAAATTTGTAGCTGTTCTAATTTTCAACCTCATGCATATAGAATGAGCATTTGTTCAACTAGAGAAGAAGCAAGGAAATACATTTTCCCAATCAAAGGGTGTCTGCAGAGCAGTGGTGGGTTCTGGATTCTGTTCCAACCAGTATGGTTGGAACAGCCCCGGTGTCACCCACATGGACACATGCGGCACGCACACATGTGTCATCCTTGCCTGCGACACTTCTGCAAGCCTCCGCGACACTCAAACTGCGTGGCGGAGCATCGTTCAGGCACCATATGCACCATGTGCGTGCACGGGAGCACCAAAGGCTTAAAGCACAGGTAAGGTTGGGCAGGTGGACCATACTGGGGCTTACCGCCTGCAACCCACCACTGCTGCAGAGGAGAGATTTTAAAAAATGTCAATGCTGCAGACACAACCACACAATTAAAACTTAGCCACTTTTTCATACGGGACATTAAAAATGAAGGAACAGGACTTAACTCATGCAGCTGTGACTGTTGTGGCCTGATCCCACTAGTATTATTAAAGAAGATAAAGCTTCTTATCTAGAGGGGTTTTTTTTTGTGTGTGCTTTTGAGTCAGCATTGATTCTTGGCTACTGTTCCCCTGTATTAGTTCCTGTAATTAGTGTGTCAAGATTTTCTGAAGCGGTTTGCCATTACCTTCTTCCTAGGGTGGAAGCAGAGCAATTTGCCCAAAGACAACTAGCTCACTTCATTCCTAAGGCAGTGCTAGAACTCCAAATCTCCTGGTTTCTAGCCTGGTGCTTTAACCACTACACCAAAGAGTTCTCTTTACATGCTTCTTACTTGGGGGAAAGGCACATATAGGGATCCTAAAGGTGCTTTTTTTAAAGAGGCAACTGGATTTTTACAGAGCTGAGGTGGTGCAGTGGTTAAATGCAGCACTGCAGACTACTTCAGCTGACTGCAGTT